TATCTGGTCTCAACCATAGACCAGATACATGTAGGGGGTCCGGCGTTTTGGGAACGCCGGACCCCCAAGAGCCAAAAATTCCGACCGGATTTTGGCAAAAAAAGTCAGTTTTGATTTCGTTCAAAAAATATAATATGTCCGTTTTGACGAAATGGCTATTCTTCCAAGTGCCTTGACCTAGCATTTTCTCCAAACTCCAACCAGCTTGAATTCCAGCCCGAACCCCGCCAATTCGAAAGCTATGGCTACTCTCACCCTCATAAATACCATTGACCTTCAATCTTTCCTTCAGTCGCTTGTTGAAGCCACTAAGACTCAGGACCCCTTTTGTCTGAGTACTTCGAAATAAAGGACCCCCGTCACGAAGGTCGATAGGAGGTACCAGTCGGCTATAGCACTCATGCATCTCCTCAACTATCTCAAGGAAGGAGGTCCCATCCCCTTGAGGCTCTTGAAGACGAATCACCCCGCATCTCCCTCTTCTCAAAGTCTTTGTATAACCAGGCTGCACACGCACAGTTTCTTCATCTACTTCATCTCCCCTTAATCGCAGACCCTCCCCGCCTCGCTGCCAACTTTCCCATAGTTACGTCATTATGCAAAGATCACGTAACTCTTCAGCATATCGGTACCCACTTTTCGTCTTCATACTCTCACGCATACTCTGTCTCAAATTCCCATCTTTTCGGCAGTCATAGCAGGTGCCTGATTTTCCCGAACTCCCATTTTTATAGCATAATTTTGATATGCCCGGCGGTAATCTCGTACCTTGCTACTGTTACAAGGATTTTGCAGACCTTCTCGACCAAGTATGAGGAAACACCGATTCAGGCAACTCAAACTGGACTCAATTGTGCTGCAAGAAGGGAACGGTTGACCATTGCGATCAAAAGTGCGACTTCGCAATTTTAACTCAGGGATCCACTGACTCTGAAGGAAGGCTAGCACATCAAGATCTAAGCAGTTGCTGATATCTCTTCCTACATGGTTCCTAATCAACCACTCACTCAGTGATTGCATCATTCTTCTCCTCTCCCGCTCTCCGTTTTTTGGTAAGCCATGCTGAGCGATTAGCTCTGCGGAATCAATCAATCCCTTGGTATAATCTCCTTTAACTCCTCTTGTTTTCAGTGATCTGTCAACTTCTTCATTACCATGGAGCAATCGACTCAGCCACCATTTCCTGCACACAAATCAGATTCCATCAGATTGGGTGGATGTAGGTGGGGAACTTGGCATGCGTTAGGAGGTGCATGGGGGGATACCCCAGGACTCTCCATTTTCTGTGAAGGTACTTCAGAATGTTTTGCAATTCATTGGTCAGTACCCCTCTGAACTCAAATGGTTTTGTTGCTGGTAAATTATTTGCTCTTGTCAGTACTGTTTTTCCC